ATGATTGAGGGAATGAGGGTCAAAGGTGAAGGTGTGAGGAGCACAGTTCAAGCACAGTCTTCGTCAATAAAGACCTCCTGCAAGGAGGAAAGAGGAGGCGCGGGGAGTGAGGAGCAGCGGACAAAAAAAGTTGATGGGTTTTAGCAGTTACTTATTTCTGCCTGGTTCAGAGGTGAAAATAATTAGTTGATTAAAAAGGAGGAGGGGCAGGAGGAATGATGGAGGTGAGAGGAAACACAGAAGGACAAAACCAGTGTCTTCATTTACTGGACACATTTAAACCTGACAAACTGCATGTCAGGATTTAACAGCAGCAACAGGTGAGAGTTACAGGTGAAGTGGAGGAGCAGGAGGAAGAGGGGGAGGTCTAAAACACTGACTGTCATCTGTGTACTGGGAGTTGGCAAAGAATCAGAGGAGAGAGACAAAGAAGAAGAGCCAGAGTAAAGACAAAAGGAGGACAGACAGAGAGAAAGACAGTTACACAGGACAGAGACAGGGACACTCAGTCATTAAGTCTAAAAGTGCCGTAATAAAAATGACAGCTGCAGACTCTTTTCACATCAGTACAAAACTGGACCACCATAAAATGACCAACAAATGCTCCACACACACACACACACACACACACACACACACACACACACACAGACCAGGTTTAACAGTTCCGTTCACATGTGCATAGTCGAACCTGAAGAAGTTCCCTCAGGATTTGTGAAAACCGTGAGACTAGGGGTGTAACGATGAATCATGAATCAATTAAAAATCAATTCAAGTGTATGATGAGTCGCATCGATTTAAGAAATATATATATATATATATCGCAAAGGAGTAAGCTGCATTATATCAAAAAGTCACTGGTCGTACCATGAGACTACACACTCCAGTACACTAGGTGGCGGTATGCTTGTGAGTTCCTCTTCTACTAGGTTCTTGGTTGATAAGGCAGCCTGCTCCGCTGCCATCTACTGGACTGGAGGCGTGTTTATGATTCAAGCATAAATAAAGACAGTATACCAAAAGTCCCGCCACACTTATTGGGTAGCACTGCTCTAAAGACAGTCACCACAGTGCTAACTCTGACACTGGATCAGCTACCACCATGTCACTATTAAACAAAATGGAGTCACCTGAACCCCCGTGCGTTCCGGGAAACTCCGACTTTTACAACTTTGAGCAGTTGAATAAAGTGTGAGTGTTGATTAAAACCCTGCGGTGTCTCTCATTGTCCCTTTACATCACAACATTCTCTAACTACTATATTTTTTGTTTTTTAAGATAACAATTTCAGTTCATTTCAGTTAGTAATAGTATTTTGTACAGTTCTTATAGATAAAGGATCATTCTATTTGGTCAGCAAACCATTGTGATAAAATTGTATCGTGAACTAAAAAATGTGATTTGTATCATGTATCGTTACACCCCTACTTGGGATAGAACCAGATCTGTTTTCTTTGAACCATGGATGCTGCTCCAAAGAAAAGCCACTGGGAAGTTCTGGGACTGTTTGGTTCTTCACAGACATTAGAAACAGAGACCAGAGTCTGTCATTTTTATATTAAATCTATTGGTTCTCCTCCTCCTCCTCCTCCTCCTCCTCCTCGTCCTCCCTGTGGTAACACCAGACCCTTCCGTCCCAACAGCGGCGGGTGGGGTGTAAACTCTGACGTGGTACAGTCAAATGTTCTGCTTGTCATACACAGCCCGACTGGTACAGTCAAATGTTCTGCTTGTCATTTCACACAGCCCGAATCTTTACTGCAGCAGGACGGATAATTACAGCGAGTTAAGCGGATAATCGATACGTTCAAGGACTCTGCACATGGCTGCGTCCTTGAAGAGGCCAATTAACAACCATCGGTGCCAGAGACAAGCTTTGATGGAGCGGAAGTAAAAATATAAATGGAGATTTAAGGAGGACGAGATGGGAATGGACGGGAGGGAGGAAAGGGGGTGGGGGAGTGAGCTGATGCAGCAGAACGTTTGGACCAGAAGGATTCTGATCACTCACACTATTAACAAAATTGTTCTGCGTTTGCACTGTACTGTGCAAAAGTTCTAGGCAGGTGTCTACACCCCCCTTTATTTTATTTAGCATTTTTTTTGCATTTTGTAGTTTCCAATCAATCTTCAATATTTCGCAGTAGTTCAGTTGATCCTGTGACTTATATTCCAAAGCGACTTTTATACCTAAATATATTTCATATCTTTTATGGCCACATAAGGTTGCACTGTCGACACTCTGGACCACTGAAATGTTGTACAACTGAAACAAAACAATTACAAGTAATAGAAATGACATATTTTTTTCTTCCTTTACATCAGTGGTCCCCAACATTTTTAGCTCCAAGGACTACTGCCGGCCACTACCATTGACCAGTAGTGTTGGGTTAACTGTTGAAGCATCATTACAGAATGGTTAAGGATCGGTACCTTTCTCAAATCAAACATCTTTTAGACTTAATTCCGTTAGTATCAGAGTCAAAGTAAATGGAAATTCTCTCTGATTTAAGTGAATTGACTTCTTAACTTATAGTTCCTTCTCTGCGGCCCAGTACTAACTAATCAACGGACCGGTACCGGTCCACGGACCAGGGGTTGCATCCCCTGGTCTATACTTTTTGACAGATACACCTTAAACTCCAGTGGGAAGTATGGTACAGGAAACAAACATATCACATAAAATAAAAAAATTGATGCGTCCAGATCATTAAAGTTTTTTAAAGTTAAACCAATTAAAGAGCACAATTTTAAATGTTTTTTATGGTCCCTGCCCTGTGAGCTGACCTGACAAAAGATTTACTTGATCCAAATACTAAAAGAGAAAATAAGGGAATAAAGACAGAGAGAGGGTGAATGAGCACAGCTGCTCAAAACTTTTGTCACTTCATCATCAATGAACCCTTTCTCAGTTATTAATCAACCCTCAGGGAGCAGGAGACACACGGAGACAACGGGGTCAGGTTTTAACCTGTAAACCAAAGACACACTTCAGTAGACCTGAGTCTGAGTCCAGGCTGAAGAGACAGTCGTTTATCTGTACACCATCGACTGAAACACCTGAAGTGACACCCGGACAAGAGGTCTTCATCTCGATGTTTTCCAAGCCACCATCTCAGAGGGAGGACAATTTTTTATTAATGACTGAAGCTTAAAAAGAGCCCCACAGCAGACCAGTGACCGTGCATGCCCACACACACACACACACACACACTCACACACATGCAACAGAGTGTAAATGATTGATGCTGGAGTTTGTCAGAGTGAACAGAGCTCACTCCATTCCTGCAGCTCTGTTATTGTGGCTGCTGCTCTTTCATGACGGCGTCGTGTTTCACCTCCACACGTTATCATCACCACTGCCGCGTGCACACACACACACACACAGAGAGACACTTTCTGCTGCTTCACAGCCCTCTGACTGCCGCTCACTGACACTGTCACCACAATGCCTTTATGTGGCTTTTTCCAGAAATACACACGGACCAAACCATGGCCGCTGCTGCTGCTGTAGCTGCTGTAGCTGTACAAACACACACACACACGCACACTCAGGCTGTTATTACAGGTGCACCGTATTGTGTGTGCACGCTGAAAGTGATTCAAGTTTCAGGCGACGTAAACAATCAGCAGAGTGTCACTAATGAAGATGTCAGAGACAAGGTGAAAGTTAAAGTGAGAGTCAGGGTTAAGGTAAAAGCTAAGGTCAGAGTGAACGTTGAGGTGAATGTGAAGGTAAGGTCGAAGGTCACAGAGGGCAGTTGTTGACACACGCAAATTGCCATAAAATACGGCGGAGAAGACACTACGTTTACATGAACTGTGTCAGTCTGTCAGTGTGAGGACTTGACAAATACATGTGAGTGTGGACGTGAGCTCACACTGAGCAGAAGGTGAAAACATTATTTAATATGAAGAATTATTTAAGATTCATTAATTATTCAAATATTTAAAATACAAAAAATATCAGTTTAATTTAAAATAAGATATTAACAAAAAATAAATATTAGAGTTTTAACAAAACATAAAAACCACAAAAACACAATATATATAAAATAATGTCAGTTAACCAGACTGACACCAACAGGGACAAGTTTCATGAACCGGACTGACCTCAAAACCCAAAGAACCAGACTAAGTTAATAGATTATCCCAGATAATCAAACTAACTAATCTCGAAACATTGGTAATTAGTAATAAGACAAACTATGAAAACCAATACTAACTCATTACATTAACCAGACTAACATCATTCACCAGCATATTCTCACTAAATTAATCATCCTTATTAGCAGAACGGCCTTAGCAGCCAGACTAACTGGAATATTCTCACTAAAAAATGATCTTTATTAGCAATATAGCCTTGGTTACCGGACTATTTGGACTAATCAGATTACCTTTATTAGCAGACTAGTTTCAGTAACCAGACTAAGATTTTCATTAATTTGTGAAAATCATCTTCTATAATCCGACCATTTTTATGGCCATATAAACCCGGACTATCACTGGTAACCCGACTAACCTGTACTAAACCGGATTACCTCCAGACTAATCACACTGACTAACGATCACTGGCAGCCGTGAAGGCAGCGGAGCCACGTGAAACCACAGAAGTCCAGGACCTTGAACACATCCACACGCGCACGAAGGAACGAGCGCGCGTCTGATCAGACCGGACAGAATCAGATGAAACACGAGTTAAAACAAAAGTTAAAAAGTTGGCCTCGTAGTGTGAGGCGCGTGAACGCAACGGCGTAACGAAAACAAACATTAGTATTTTTTTTTTATTTTTTCCCCTAAAGTTTTCTTTTAACGCTGTCGTTGATAACGTTCCAGTTTAGTTACAGTTCGACGGAGCCGCGCGCTGTCACAGCAAATCAACGTGGTTCGACCAAAGTGTCGGCGAACAGGCAAACAAACAGACAATCAGAGGAACAATCACACTGATAATGCTACTAATAATGCTACAAATAATGGAAGTGTGGAGGAGTGGGACTCACCCAGTGAGAGGAACGGTTTGGTCTCCATGTCTGTGGACGGCTTCTAGCTCATAACAGCTGAGACTCTGCTGCGGATCGAGCTTTTAAACAAGCCGAGCAGGACGATCCTGATCCTGGTTCTGGTCCCGGTCCTGCTCCAGGGCTTTTCCAGGTCCCTCCGCTCCTTCTGTTGCTCCTCCTCCCCCAGTGACTCCTGTCCGTTCGGCGTTTGAAGCTAAAGTGACAGAAGTGTTCGCTCACAGTCTTACTGATGATCTGCTGCTGCTGCTGCTGCTGATCTGTGTTTGTTCACTCTGCTGCTGCTGCTGCTGTTGCTGCTCACACACATACACACACACACTCCCTCTCTCTCTTTCTCTCACTCACACACACACACACTCCCGTTCGCCCTCTCTCTCTCTCCCTCGCTCTCTCTTTACAACAACTCCAACTACTGGATCTGAGCTGTAAAAATTGAGTTGCTGAGCAGAGGAGACTCCCACCAACACACACACACACTCTCTCTCACACACACACTTTAAAAGGAAAGTTTGGTTATGTTCAAATGTATATAATAAAAATAGAGCACACATTAAACGACAATACCGAGCATTTGAAATAACATGAATGAAAATCCGAATAAAAAATACAAAATAAAAGCTATTTTTAAACCCAGACCATGGTCCAGTCTTGGTCTGTGACCAGGATATTTACACATCTAAACAGTATTTGGACCTTTCTGCTTTTATTATTATTATTATCAATAATAATACCAATAAGAAGAATAATAACAGTAATAATAATCATAGTAATAATAGTAATAATAGTAATCATCATCATTATTATTATCGTTATTACGGATTTGATTGGCCGATGTTAACTTCTCTTCATCTCTGGCTACTTGTGAACTACTTTTGTTCTGCTGCACTTTTGTGTCATTTTAAGTTGAGTTTGTGTGAAAAAAACAAAACAAAAAGCTGTCAGTTTCCTGGAGGAGGTTGTTTTTCCTCCATTTCTCTTCTTCTTCCTCAGCCGCCGCAGCAGCAGCAGCAGCAGCAGCTTCTTCTTCTCCTCTGTTCCTCTGCAGCTCCTTATCTGCTGTTGTTTTAACCTGGTCACACATGTTGAACAGAGTAGTCAGCTTCCACCGCCTTGACTCCAGCGCTGCACCAATCAGCCTATCGCTCAGATCTGCTGTACAGCCTCAGTCCTTCAGCACGGTCAGAACCCACACAGATTTAAAGGCTCTGACTCAGATTTAAGGCCCCACACTCCTGTTTGGTTCTGTTCAGCGAGAGTCTAATACCAAAGAACTTTACAAGAAAACAAAACAAAACAAAAAAACAAACTCATACATTTACTCTCTCAAGGCTCTTTTCTTTTGGATTCATTTTAAACTAAACTGCTAAAAAAATTCCTGTGTGAGAAAATTATGCAAGTTCTAAATGTAAGCATCTTCTCTCTCCTTCAACATCTGCTGATGTTTATGAAACTCAGTGATCTGCCAACGTGGCATTAAAACAGCAGAGAGAAAAAAAAAGTATGAATTTACTGCAGATGCATAATAGTTAGACCCACAGAAATGCCCCGGGGCTGATTCTACAGCTAGCAGCAGTACGCTGCCTGCACGTCACTGTTCTTTCCCTTCTTCAACCAGTGTTGAGTGTTAGACCTGGATCAGTTCACTGTCAGGGTCCAGAGACTCCGACCCACTGTGATACTGGAAAGGCTCTGATGCAGTGAGAAGAAGCGGCTGGTGTTACAGTGAAAACAGTACCACCTGTACCACAGAATGTTCCTGCAGTTTCCCTGTAGGCAGCCGGGATGATCCTGGCGCTGACAAACACCCTCAACACTTCACTGCGTTTGTGCCGTGGTGAAAACAAAACACAACATTAATGCAAATTTATGGAAAATCACTGATCAAAGGGATCTGTGCAAACAGCCCAACTACAGCCGATCACTGGGGGTGTGCAGGATACCACACGAGGAAAGTCGGGAATCTGTGCCCACACCCTACACCACAACTGATACTACTGCAGGGACTTTCTCCGCCGCCGCAGCAGCAGCAGCAGCAGCTTCTTCTTCTCCTCTGTTCCTCTGCAGCTCCTTATCTGCTGTTGTTTTAACCTGGTCACACATGTTGAACAGAGTAGTCAGCTTCCACCGCCTTGACTCCAGCGCTGCACCAATCAGCCTATCGCTCAGATCTGCTGTACAGCCTCAGTCCTTCAGCACGGTCAGAACCCACACAGATTTAAAGGCTCTGACTCAGATTTAAGGCCCCACACTCCTGTTTGGTTCTGTTCAGCGAGAGTCTAATACCAAAGAACTTTACAAGAAAACAAAACAAAACAAAAAAACAAACTCATACATTTACTCTCTCAAGGCTCTTTTCTTTTGGATTCATTTTAAACTAAACTGCTAAAAAAATTCCTGTGTGAGAAAATTATGCAAGTTCTAAATGTAAGCATCTTCTCTCTCCTTCAACATCTGCTGATGTTTATGAAACTCAGTGATCTGCCAACGTGGCATTAAAACAGCAGAGAGAAAAAAAAAGTATGAATTTACTGCAGATGCATAATAGTTAGACCCACAGAAATGCCCCGGGGCTGATTCTACAGCTAGCAGCAGTACGCTGCCTGCACGTCACTGTTCTTTCCCTTCTTCAACCAGTGTTGAGTGTTAGACCTGGATCAGTTCACTGTCAGGGTCCAGAGACTCCGACCCACTGTGATACTGGAAAGGCTCTGATGCAGTGAGAAGAAGCGGCTGGTGTTACAGTGAAAACAGTACCACCTGTACCACAGAATGTTCCTGCAGTTTCCCTGTAGGCAGCCGGGATGATCCTGGCGCTGACAAACACCCTCAACACTTCACTGCGTTTGTGCCGTGGTGAAAACAAAACACAACATTAATGCAAATTTATGGAAAATCACTGATCAAAGGGATCTGTGCAAACAGCCCAACTACAGCCGATCACTGGGGGTGTGCAGGATACCACACGAGGAAAGTCGGGAATCTGTGCCCACACCCTACACCACAACTGATACTACTGCAGGGACTTTCTGTTTAAATAATGTTGACAGAGTTTGACTGTTCTCCAAATTTAAAAATAAATACACGCTGTCAATAACTCTCAGGGTCACATGCCTGGACATATATCTATTGTCTGTAAATATGTGCATATATGTATTTGTATACACATACGAATACATATGTACAGTATATACAGAATGTATGCATATGTATATATGCATATATGTATATACATGTGTAGTTATATACACATATGTACATAAGTATGCCTATATGTGTACATATATATAAAAATGTATCTTACCGTCGGCCATTTTCTTTTTTTTTTATTTAGGTTTGACTTCATTCGCCCAAAAGGTTTTGAACACTAGAAGTGGAATAAGTCCAAGATATCAGCATTTTATGGAATGCATCGTGAGTTATACTGCTAATTTGCTACTATTTGCTAACTGCTAGCATGCCTCTGACATGCTAGATGCTACAGTTCTAATTGCAAATTAAATGCTAAATGTATTTCATTGTGTTCGCCATCAAAATTGTTTTCATATTTTTTTATGAAAAGGTTGACACATTTTACAGGTTTATTTTTTTATAAAACAATTGATTTTATTGGATTCAAATATGTACATAGCACCGCCTATGGGCCAGGAAAGGGAGCTACATGCTTAATGCTGATCAAAACCAACATACCATAATTGGTATCCAAAACTGCATAATTCCCCTAACATAAAGTTTTATGTATATGACAATAATAACACAGGCTGTGAAGGGGTTCAACAAAACCAAGGTGATTGGTTCTTTTTATTTTCTTTTACTATCCTTATATTTACTTCTCTGTGTATGTGAGTTCTCCCAGTCTTCAGTGGGTTTCATTTTGGCTCAGTTTCCGTAAGGGAAGTGGCCTCAGTTCTGTCCTCAGACAAAACCCTGACCCTGGGATTCAGGAATGTGAACTTAAGGCTATGACGATCAGGACCTTCCCCTGAGGGCCAACAAAGACCAAACACCTCAACAAATGTTTCAATCATCTCACAAACCTTTGTCTTCCCCACAGTTCAACCTCTGCCTCAGACCTCCGTCAGAACCAGACATCAGTGTCCATCACTGTAGTCCCTTAAACTTTGGTGGACAAACATTTCCAACTAGAAAATAAATAAATAAATAAAAAGTCAAAGTTTTGAAAACTGGTTTGCACATTTTCTCCAACTAGTTCATTACACCAACATTTGAAGACCAGTTGCTACAGCACCACATAGTGGTCACAGTAAATGCTAGATGTATGTCATGTTCACTGATGCTCAATGAGGCTGAGCTTCAACAGGGTTAGATACACTCCACTGCTACGGGAGGGTGAGAAGAAAATCTGACCTGTGACAAACAGCTGATCCTGAAGGAACTGGTCAGGGAGTTGATCAGGTGTTGGTCAACATTAATCAATGACAGGTGAATAAAACTGCAAATATTTGACCACCGATTTGAGGACAGTTTGGAGGAAGCTGAGCTTCACTGCATTCTCCCATTAATCACCACTGTTGACTGGAGCCGAGCAGCAGTTCAGCTCCATCATGGCTGATGAGCCGCCCCGCTGCCGGCAGCCAATTTATTTTATTTTATTTTTTTCTGAAGAAGAAGGAATTTGAAATCTTCATGTGCTGGAACATTCCTCCAGAATGAAAACAAATGTCACTAACACGGAGGGAGACAGAGAGACAGAGGGAGACAGGGACCGAGACAGAGAGAGACAGAGGGAGGCAGAGGGAGACAGGGACAGAGGGAGAGGGGGACAGGGGGAGACAGAGGGAGAGGGGGATACGGGGAGACAGAGGGATACAGGGACAGGGGGAGACAGTGACAGAGGGAGACAGAGACAGGGATAGAGAGAGACAGAGGGAGACAGAGACAGAGGGAGACAGAGACAGAGGGAGACAGAGGGAAGCCATAATCACTTTTACGGATGAGCCTGTTGTGAACGGTCCCAGTACAAAGGAGACCAAAAGGCCCTTGTCTCATTTATCACCCACTTTAGGAGAGAGCGGAGGGGGTGAGGGGGGACTGTCATCAGAGCAGTGGTGGTCTCTCGTCCCCTGAGGCCCAGACACATCGCTTTAAGTGCCAAAAAGGAAAAGACAAAAGAGAGGCAGAGAAAGAGAGAAGGGAGCCGAGAGGGACTGTAATGAAGAGTGTTAGTGGACACTTACGGTGGACGGAGGTGTGAGGACAAAACAGCCTGAAGAGATTTATATGGACGGATGTCAAAGGTTGAACTGCTATTAATCACGGAGGAGGATTAAATATCTGGAGGAGAGACATGGGGCTGTTTGAGGTGATTAAAGGGAGTGGA